AAAAAAAAAAAAAAAAAATTAAAAAAAAAATTTAATTAGAAATATAATAAAAAGAAATTTTCCAAGAGGACCACCCATCTAGGATGACCACTTTCCTTCTTGACAATGGTCAATGGGTTCTCCTACATTTCTTGAACAAGTTCCACTGTACTTACTATGCTAGTTACCGTTGTCTCCTGCCAGATGGATCATTTAGAAGTCTTTCAGGAAAACTGTAGGCTTTCAAGGAGGCGCCAGGCAGTCTAATCAGTTGGCTGTGATGTAGGACCTGAACAGAATGAGAATAAATCATAGTAAGTCTCAAGTGAAAACTACTCTTTTTATTCAACTCTACAACTGTAATGAATAATAATTTAGGTCTTTAGTTTAGCACTACCTAAAACCAAAGTCAGAAATGGCCCCCTGCCTCTTCACTTTTAGCCCGAAACCCAAAATCTAAAAAGGAACGACTTCCATAATGAGCGACCACCTCAACAAACAAAATAGAGAAGGGACTTAAACCTTACCCTCTTTCTATTTCATAGTGGTCACTCATTTCGGAATTCCTCCCTCAAAAAAATTAAGAGGCTAAATTCTCTCTCTCTCTATATTCTCAAATTGATTGGGATCTTCCAAGCCTTCCTCAACTCTACTCCCTACTCCTTAACTCTCAATCTCCGATAAGCCATTCCCAGCGGCTCGAGGTCAGAACCACTGTGCCAGTGAGCTGCTCGCAGTGGCTTGAGCACATTCCTTTGCGACGACTCCGACATCAAATTACTTTTCTTTTCGGCAATTGCCGAAAACAAGTCTCTTTTATCTGGAGTTCATTCATAAGATGAAGAAGTATCAAAATGGTTGACTTGTTTTGAATTACAAAGAGGTTAGCTGTACTTACTAGCTTGCCAACCCGTCTAGCCGTACTTCCTGCCAGTCTAGCCGTATTTAGGTTAGGCCCTATTGACCGAAACCTGTTGGGTACACAGTCTCATTAGATCTAGTAATTATTACTGTTTAAAATACATGCATGTCAGTAAGGCACCTCTTGCTTTTGTCTGAAATACTTTAGGTATTGCAAACTAAAATTTTATTTACAATTCAGCCATCATCATTAAGTATGGCTAGCCTTCCAGTCTAGCCATACGTATTTTAGGCCTCCTGTTGAGCACACAGGTCTTCTTAGATTCAGGTTGACAATACATGCACTGTCAGTTAGGCACTTTTTTATTTTGTCTCAAATACAAATACTTTAGGCATTGCAAACTAAAAATTTATTTACAATTCAGTAGGTCTACTTTTTTGCTGTTTGTCAGTCCAGCCATCATAATATAAGCAGGGTTCATTTTTGCTATGAATGACTATGGGTCAACTGACCCACTCAGGCCAAAATCAATTGGTCAGTCTTGTCAGTGATGGCTCAAGTTTGTAGGCAACATGCATGGAGAGTTGTTCTCGGTTGTCTTTGTATAAGTTAAAGTAACATGCCATGCAAGCGTTTTACGGAGAAATAGTGGATTAATGACTTACCAACAATATCTGCTTGCGATGCTTCAAATTCCCATCTCTACCCTCCCTTTGACAAGCAATGACAATGAAAAATTAAACTTTTATCCAAATTGCTTAAAAACAGGCTTAAATGAAAATAGAGTAAATTCTAAGAACAATGATTTTTAAATTTAAAAAATCCATTAATAAATAAAAATAAGTAATTGGGATTTTTGTTTGTAAAATTTTGGGGGACCAAATATCGCCAAAAGTGGGACATGTCTCGATGTATTTTGAGGAAAAACTGTTCATAAGTCAGTAATGACTAATCAGAGTATATGAATGAAACTTGGCATCTTCGACTTTTAGTGAAGAATCTAGTCCTGCTATCACTTTTTCGATGTCTTTATTACTTTGGATCTTAAAGACTAATATTTGCAAGAAATCTATTGAATTGCGTGACGTCGTTTTTACTGTGACTGATCACCCCTTCTAAAACTAAGTAAAGCCGTATCGGGAAAACCCGCAATGAAGTCATTGGTAACCTATTTAGAATAGGCAGCCATTCACATGCTGCCTAGCGATCAGCGCCTCTAGCATGACCTGTAATTTACTACGTCATTTTCCATAAGGAATGCTGAAATTTTCCATTGAAAAAATATCAGTGTTCAACCCTTTATAGCTGCGTATAGGCCTGCGCGCTTCCAGGGTTTAAGTTTGTCCACTTGTAGTGTCCGGTTTGATAGTTTATGAGCGCCAGCAAAGGCAAAGGGTAGCTTAAAGTAGAGGGCTGTACACATAGGGGCCTTGATGCTATGCTATGCTGTATGGGAGGGCTGTATGCATAGCCACGAGGCTATGCATGCGGGAGCCGTATGCATAGCAACTTCGATATAAAAAACAGAGTGTCTACATACATGGTAACCGGGCACCTAGCCTCAGTGTCTACGTACACAGTAACCGGGCACGTAGCCTCAATATCTACGCACACGGTCAACGGCAACTGGGCATATAGCCTCAGTGTCATGTACACGGTAATCGGGCAAGTAGCCTCAATATCTATGTACACGGTAACCGGCAACCGGGCATGTAGTCTCAGTGTCACCAGAGACTATATTAAATGGCTGATGTTAGGGGACCGTACGCCCCAATAGCGCTTGGCGCTAGGGGACCGTACGCCCCCATAGTGTTAGGCGCTAGGGGACCGTATGTCCTACCTGTGCTAAGGCGTGATGTTACGGGACCATAGGCAGATGTGCATGCATCTGGACTTTGGTTCACCCACGGCCACTAGATACCTCACAATCGTATTCAGACATTTTAAACATTCTCCTAGTAATAACTCCTTACATCAGGAGCTTCGTTAAACTGGCCATTTTCCTCCTGTATTTTTGCAAAGTCCAGATGCATGCACATCTGCCTACCGTCCCGTAACACCACGCCTTAGCGCAGGTAGGACATACGGTCCCCTAGCGCCTAACACTATGGGGGCGTACGGTCCCCTAGCGCCAAGCGCTATTGGGGCGTACGGTCCCCTAACAATAGCCATATTAAATACTTTCTGGTGTCACGTACACGGTAACCGGGCAGTTCAGAACTCCCAAGTTCAGTTATTAAATTGTTATCCGGTGTTGCTTCGTCCCCACCCCTTCCCCTGACTGTATCTTTTAAAAAATCAATAATCTCTCCCCCCCCCATTCCGGAGCCCTATACTTCGCAGCGCACTGACTTTGAAAGAACTTTGTGAGCCCAATCGGTACTCACAATGTGATGCATACGCACAGGTTCACTGACCTGTCACGATGGCGAGCCCGACAAGACGCTTGTATGACTTTCTTTTTTTCAGCAAGTGACAGCACAGCACAAATATTGATTTATTCCGGTTACCGAGTAGGCTACGTAGATACTGAGACTAGGTGCTCAGTTACCGTGTACGCAGACACTCCGTATAAAAAATGGAGTAGGCTAAATGTTTTCCTATCATTCAAGCATGAGAAAAGCGACAGGCACAGCTATTTTACTTTCGAAAGTGGCTATTCTCACCCGCCCGGAAGTTCTCGCAAGATCAATTCCTCCCCTCTTCTCTCTCTCTCTGTCTCTTTCTGAATACTGTCTATCGGTGTGGACGATCAAATTGACCAAAACAAAGTTAAAAAATGATGTTAAAACACAAAAGACAAAAGTAAATTAATTTGGTTGTCTACAAAGATGCTACGGCTATTTAACTTTTCGAATCGAGCCGAACTACGCGGGTCGCCATTTTGTTTTGCCCGGAAATTCTCGCGCTACTCCTCTCTCTCTTTCTCTCTCTCTCTCCACTGCCCACAGACAAAATTGTACGCTTTTAGTAGGCTACAGTTGTAATGGAACGTTTGTTCACGGAACAGAATTCTACAATTTTTCTGTTATCACAGTGTAGAATTCTGTGGTTTAGGGTGAACGCAAAATTTGGTGAACGCGCACCGGGTGAGAATAGCCACAAGACTCGCCTGCACTATTCTCACTCCGGGTGAGAATAGAGGTGGCCTTTACTTTCAGTTTCACTCTCAATCTCAACAATAACTCTAGATATCTAGAGAATTCGGTGCTTTTTCGGTAGTTCCCACCCCCCTTATTTGAGCCTGACCTACATCTAGATCTAGATCTAGATCTATACTTTTGATTCGCGATGAGCTAAGATATCAAACCTAACAATAGCAAAACATTAAATTGTGGTAAAATTCAGGGGGGCATGCTCCCCTGAAACCCCCCTTCCTATTTTTGTTAGGTCAGGGGTCAGGGGGGCAAGCCCCCCTGAAACCCCCTTACTCTTGGGGCCAAAACCCGTGAATAACAATTGCGGGGTGAGAACTACCGAAAAAGCGCCGAGAATTCAGTCTAAGTCAAGTTCGGTCTTCTGCACACAAGATAGATCTAGATTCTAGATCTAGAGTCTAGAGATACTAGAATCTAGATCTAGAGTCAAACAGCATCACCGCGCACCTTGTTGGGTGCGCAACCCCCGGTCTCCTGCTTTGTTTTCGATAAGAACAGCGAAAACGAGGTTACTTTATGTGAGCATGCGCAGTAACAACTAAATTGCACTTTCGTTTTGGAGGTTCCTGTCTACACACGTGATTCTACGGTGTCAGTAAGTTTTGCCCCTTCATATTGATTGTTTTCGTAATCGGAGTCGGTGAATTACTAAGCGCTTGAGTGGTCGATTATTTAGCTCTTCTGGTTAATCTAGCTCTTATGTATCGTAGAATGTACACTAAAATCGAGCCCAAATGATCGCAGGCTGCTTCTGAATGCCTGGAACATGCCCGATGGGGTTGCGCACTGAAGCGGACCAAATTTGCCCCGTCCGTTTTGGTGCGCAATATCGGCTTTTGACATTTGGCATTGACAGTGTGGCTTCTTGTAGCCTTAGTTGTTTCACTTATTTCTTTAGGACCTGCGTTGCGCACTGAAACAGACTGTTTTCTTTCCTTTTGGATGCTTTATATTGCCAATGGGAGATGATCAGAATGTATTAATGTCAAAATTAATCAATATATATGGAAATGGGATATGGACATGGTTGTCATTTAATCCCCAAAATGACCAATTTCTTCTTTTCACGTCTTCTTCTTTTTCTTTTTTGTTCTTTTCCTTTAAGTTTAAGAATACTATTCTTGGTCTAGTCTAATTCTTGTTTTCTTCTTTCCCCTTCTTGTGTCCACAGCACCTTTTCTTTCTTATCAATTATCAAAACAACACAGTGTAAGGAAATCTCCCATAAACCACTGAATATGGCCCAACCAAATAAAAATTACTCTCAAGAAATAATCGAGGAAGCAGTGAAGCTGGTCAGGTCCAAGAGTATGACACTATATGGTGCTTCAAAAACGTTTAAAATCCCCCTCTCCACTTTGGGTGACAAGGTGCGGGGGAGAAGGGCCGTCAAGCCTCAAGTTCATAAGCTGCTCACTGACGAGGAGGAGGAGAGATTGGTCATGTGGATCAAAGTTCATGCCCAACGGTCAATGGGGCGCACCCACGAAGACGTGCGGCAAAAGGTGAAGGAAATATTAGACCTGCGAGGAGCGTCAGTAAGGAGAGAAGATGGCCTTCCTGGTAAGGACTGGGTGACCAACTTAAAAAAACGTCACCCAGGACTTAGCCTCCGATCCCCTCAAGCTCTTGGCAAGGAGCGAGCCCTAGTGCAGGAGAAGGACATTAGGGACTGGTTCTCCGAAATGAAGAAATATCTCGACTCTCGAGACCCAGCCCTCCTCAAAAGCCCAGATAGAATCTTCAACGCAGATGAGACTGGTTTCGCGTTCGCACCTGTCTCCAAGCGAGTCCTGGCCCCGGTGGGCATGAAGCATGTGTATAACATCTGCAATAACACGAAGAATCAGATAACAGTGTTGGCATGTGCATCAGCTGCTGGGGAATACGTGAATCCCTTGCTGGTTTTTCCGAGGAAAAGAATGCCCTCAGCCAACTTCCTTGCTGGCTTCAAGGACGCGTTCATGCAGCTATCAAGCAATGGATGGGTGAACGTTACCATCTTCCACACCTTCATAAAGGATGTATTTATACCATTCATCGCGGAAAAGCCAAAGCCAGTCGTCCTTTTCGTCGATGGACACACAAGTCACAACAGTGACATTGGCACGCTCGAGATGTGTGAGGAACATGGCATCATACTCTATGGCCTTCTTCCTCATGCCTCTCACATAATTCAGCCTCTAGACCTATCGGTATTCGGTTCCATGAAGGCAAGATGGTCGGTGGTGGTGAAGCAGCACCTGGAGGAGACAGGGGAGACGCCATCAGCGGCCAATTTTTCGCACCTGTTGAAAAAAGTGTGGGAGCATTGTGCCAGGCCAGAAGCCAGCCTGAAAGGTTTCAGACGTTCAGGCATCTTTCCTTTTAACCCAGAGAGCCCTCTGACAAGTGGCAAAATGGAGGCCAGTAGGAGTTTCTTCTCCAGCCCTGAAGGTACCTCAGCAACTCCTGATATCCCTCAACAAACTCAAACACCACCAAGAGCCTTGCCTCCACCGTCAACAACCCCTTCATTGTCATCAGCATCCACTTCAGGACTGCACAAATACTTTTCACTAATACCACGGGCCTCTCCACCTCCACCAGCAACGACTCCACCTCCACCAGCAGCGACTCCACCTCCACCAGCAGCGACTCCACCTCCACCAGCAGCGACTCCACCTCCACCACAAGCGACTCCACCACCACCAGCAGCGACTCCACCTCCACCAGCAGCGACTCCACCACCACCAGCAGCGACTCCACCTCCACCAGCAGCGACTCCACCTCCACCAGCAGCGACTCCACCTCCACCACAAGCGACTCCACCACCACCAGCAGCGACTCCACCTCCACCAGCAGCGACTCCACCACCACCAGCAGCATCACCGACACCTCTTGCTGCTCTTCCATCTCTAGCACCAGCGACTCCATCTCCAGTACCTACTCTCCAACCACAACCAGCTACCCAAGCCACTCCTCTGCCTCTACCACTAGCACAGTCCACATCCCAAGCCACCTCTGCAGCTACTGCCCTCCCTCAGGTGGCTACAACCAAGCTCGATGCCGTCAGTTCCCTTCTGCGCCTGTCCTCCATGTTAGGCATCATCAGATGTGAAAGCTACCTGGATATGCTGAAGGGAAGAAAGACGTCAGAGGACAAAGAATTTCAAGAATTTCAGAGGACACTGGTGGCAGCAGGTGTACTCGAGGTTCAAGACCAGGGCATCCCAGCCTCATCTGTTCCCTCCAGACGCAAAAGCTTGGATGACCTGTTTGCCCCACCCCAACTCCCAAACAACAAGAGGGGCACAGCTTCCAAAAAGAACTCCTCATTGACCATGGCCTTCAGTTCAGATCAGTACAGGAACTTCTTACAAGGAAAGGAAGACAAGGCCAGGATGGAGAAAGAGATGAAAGAGAGAAGGAAGAAAGATCGAGAGGAAGCAAAAGCAAGAAAAGAGCAAGAGAAGAAGGAGCGTCAGGAAAAAGCTAGAGTTGAGCGAGAGAGAAAGATACAAGAGAAAAAGGAAACACAGGAGAGGAAGCAGTTGGAGCGACTGCTAAATAGTAATAAAAAGAGAGGAAGGGAAAGTAGCAGTGAAGAAGAAGAAGAAGGCATGGTTTTGGAAAGTGATGATGATGTGGAACTTGGTGTTGAGGAGAGCAGATGCAAGCAGTGCAACAAGGAGGAAGGTGACAGCAGATGGATTCAGTGTGACCTGTGTGATGCCTGGTTTCACTTTACCTGCTCCGGCTTGCCATCCGATGCTACTATGAATGAAGACTTTTATTGTAAAAACTGTGTTGGTGGAGTTCGTGGAAACTGAGACAATGGATACTTTTTATTTCATGTAAACAGGAAGCCAGCTGTATTTATGTGAGTTGACTCTATGTTGTGTATGTCACTGCCTAATATGATAGATGTGTTTGTGTGTGTGTGGCTTTGATTTAGCATTAATTTTAATATTGTTTTATGACATTTGTCCTATATTATTACAAAATGTATTCACCAAGGTGAAAACTAGTCTGAATTGGTCCATATTTCTTCTTTGTTAATCCACCAAACCGTATACATGGTACTATTGCGCACTCAACCAGACGATATGTTGCACCCAAACAGAAACCTTGCGCACCAAACCAGACACACGGTACCAAACAAACACCACCACAACATAGGAATTTTAAACTGCTGGGTTTTGTATGATAGCTACACCGTATAGAGGAGGTCTTTTTAACTCTTCTGGTGAAAAAATCATGAAGATCCACCAGTAACTTCCGGAGATATCAACAAAAGATCGCTTATGGTATATCGCACCCCAGGATCTACTCTAGATATAGAATCTAGATCTAGATCTAGATTTTTAGATCTATATATTCACGCACAGCAACCGAATCTGCGAATCCCAGAGAACATGTTTGGTGCGTCATTCATTAATAACAATATCAATAATGTCAATACAGTAAGTTACACACTGAGTCACTGAGTAACTTCGTAAGAGTAAGATAACATCGCGATACGAAAAATTCATTTTTCATTCAACCAAGAGAATCTACATTTCTTACATTTGGAATAAAAGTAGAGTCTAGTACCTTGTATACAAACACAGTAGCCTAGACAATTGAGCCAAGTCAATTCGGCAATGCGGATGGGGAGATCTTGTACTCTCTCTGTTGAATATTACCACAATATCAGCCTTGTCAGTCAGTTTCATCAGGACCAAGCCAAGCGTGTTCTATTTCGTTTCGAGAGATATTGTTGACAAAAAGAAGGCATGATTTTTAGGGCGAAAATCTAAAAAGTCAGATCACACCACAACCCTATTTTCCAGAACAATTCAATAAAAACGCAACGCTTGTCTTGCTTGTCATGGTGCAACATAATAAATTAATAAAATTTAGTCATGTCCTGCTCCAATATTACGCAATGTAGGGTAACTAGCCTAAAAACATTGAAAAGGCGATTGAACAATGCTGTAGTTTTTATCTGTTTTTTTCTCTTGAATTCGTGATTTTCGCAATTTCTAGAGTAAAGAAATTCGTGAATCTAGGCTAAATACATGCAGCAAAATCGTTCGGGAAGGGGTGGTGCACTGGATTCCGTGATATTGGCCGGACGACTCATTGAGTCAAAAAACAAAATGGGCTGAACGCGAACAAAAAAAAAAAAAAAAAAAAGCCCGCTGCACAGCAGGCCTATTGTTCTTCCAAATGTCCTTTCCCAACTGGTCGGCATACCTATTTTAATCAACTTCTCTGTGTCCGGGCTCCGCGGGAAAAGGAGAATTTAGGCTAAGAGCCCCTCTTTTCTGGGGAAGCCTGAATTATATGTTACACTGGCTGGAACGATCAAAGTAGATATGTGGGTGGTTGGCGGGTGCTCTGGTTTGGTTCGCTTCTTCTTTCCTATCAAACATCTACCGTCCTTATCTTCCCTTCTTCTTGTTTATGCTTGTTACTCTCTTGTAACACCTCTAATCTTCTGGCGCTCATATGACCTTATGCAGTTGCGAGCGCCGTAAAACCCCTACTAAAACTAAGCTAAAAAGTAGATCTAATCAAATTGTATGTTCTTATAATATGAGGTTGATCATGGTGTAAATAATCACGGTAGTGGCAATTAATTGCAATAAGACAAAGACGTAGGTCCACTCCAGTTGCCTCAATAGGACTCATGCGTCTTAATCTTAATATGTCTTGGTAGATAATTTTGCAACAAACTAATTAATATTATGTTAATAGGGAGGAGAGCCCAAAAATTATCGCACGTGGATTATAGGCCTATTGTAGAAATGTTGTTGTATTGTTGTTGTTGTTGTTGTTTCTGTTGTTGTTGTTGTTGGTGATGGTGGTCCTTAATTCCTCCTCCCCGTCCTCGTCCTACTCCCTCTTCCCCTCCTCCTGCTCCTCCTCCTCCTCCTCCTGCTCCTCCTCCTCCTCTTCTTTTTCTTCTTTTTCTTCTTCTTCTTCTTTTTCTTCTTCTTCTTCTTCTTCTTCTTCTTCTTCTTCTTCTTCTTCTTCTTCTTCTTCTTCTTCTTCTTCTTCTTCTTCTTCTTCTTCTTCTTCTCCCCTCCTCCTCCTCCTTTTCCTTTTCTTCTTCTCCTCCCCTCATCCTCTTCCTCTTCTTCTCCCATCCTCCTCCTCCTTCTCCTCCTCCTCCTCCTCCTCTTCTTCTTCTTCTTCTTCTTCTTCTTCTTCTTCTTCTTCTTCTTCTTCTTCTTCTTCTTCTTCTTCTTCTTCTTCTTCTTCTTCTTCTTCTTCTCCCCTCCTCCTCCTCCTCCTCCTCCTCCTCCTCCTCCTCCTCCTCCTCCTCCTCCTCTTCTTCTTCTTTTACTTCTTTTTCTTCTTCTTCTTCTCCCTTCCTCCTCCTCTTCTTTTTCTTCTTCTTCTTCTCCTCCTCCTCTTCTTCTTCTTCCCCCATCCTCCTCCTCCTTCTCCTCCTCCTCTTCTTCTTCTTCTTCTTCTCCCCTCTTCTTCTTCCTCCTCCTCCTCCTCCTCCTCCTCTTCTTTTTCTTCGATTGCGAACGCCCTTCTTTGGACCAGCTCTTTTCAATTTGGGAAACAGTTTGCCACCATAATTCGTCTGTCAGCATATAAGATTAAGTCGGTTTCATAGATACGTTGCACAGGTAGGCCAAAACACTTAATATGCCAACTTAACCCTTCTCATATCTCTACCATTTTATTTGTACCATGCTACAGAATTGTATACAGCCGATGATTCCTTTGATGCCCCCTCCCCCTGCCTTTCGGGAAAAAAGGCCAGTTTTCTTTTCTTTTTATTTGATGAAGTCGTGAACACTAATTGAGGCACCACAATGCAATTTTTCTAACGTGACCAAATTTGAAGACAACTCAGTATATATATATATATAATATATATATATGTGTGTGTGTGTGTGTGTGTGTGTGTGTGTGTGTGTGTGTGTGTGTGTGTGTGTATTGCTCTTGTGAACGGTTGATTGATTGAGTAGTGAGTAAGAGTTTTACTCTCTTGTGAACGGAAAGGCGTTAACACTCAAAGAAATAGATTTTTTTACGTAAGCCTAATCAAAAAGTGGCACACTTCTTTTTATTTTGAATTAAGAGCAGGTTTAACACATTTTGAATGTATACTTGGTTGTCTTGTCCTCCCTTTATTACACAAAGCCCCTTATTGACTTAATCCTCATGCATTTTTTTATTAGTGGATTTTCTTTTCTTAAAAAAAAAAAAAGTTTTAATAAGAGTTTTACGGCACTTGCAACACAATAAGGTCATAATCAAATTACCGAAGAATAAATGTGTTACAGGAGAGTGACGTACACAAAAAAGGAGGAGCGATAAAGACGACAGATGTTTGAAAGGAAAGAGCAAACCACACTAGACCACCCGCCAACCACCCACTGGATTTTCTTTAGGGGTAAAAATAAACAATAAACAAACAATAAAAAAGAAGCCTTCTTTTTTTTTCCTTCTTGTCCCTAAAGTCAGCATGCAAGCTATGATTTACGTTTCAGCTAAGACCTTGCGGTGTCTCTCTCACTCACCCGCCAATAAGGTTAGCCAGGCGGTTTTTCTGAGTGTTGCACTGACACCCGTCAATATGGCCAAGTCCTGGAAGTCAGGGCGAGGGAGGTCAATAAACAGTAATATAAATACAGCTCCTGCTTGATCTCCTACTGTTCCCTGTAACACCGCTAAAGGTGAGGTACAATCTTCACGGAAAATCCCATTTCATATGAAATGTGCTAATATAATATAACATAATAAGCATATCAGTGCTTAGAATTTAATCCAGAGGCGAACATATCGACTGTCTGTAAGCCAATTGGACGTTGTTTTCTTATGGTTTAAAAACGTTATTGTTTAGAGACCGTTCTAAGTCAAGGTTTCGGTTTGTGGCTCGTAGAAACCCAATCTGATCCAGTAAGGCAACTGTAGGGTAGTGATTAGGCTCTTTGTCTTTGCAAACAGAGACGAGAGTGCAATTCTCGAATGAGTGTTAAAAAAACCTATAGCACATTCATCTCAATCTGTCAGAAAGGGATTTTGCATCCTTTTCAGCTCATGTGGCCTTCGCAGGCAGGATTGAAGCAGCACATCCCTTAAATAATCTAAATAGTGCAGATGGGAGGCAGAAAACATGGACAAATACATTCCATTTTTTCCCCGATTCTGTGCTCTGTTTGAGTAACTGTTTAAAACAAATGTCCTTCGGGTAGTTGGAAGACGCCACAGGTAGGTAGGTCCAACTTCTTCTTCCTTCTGTTGTTTATGTCTATCTTGATGTTTCCTTGCACAAAATGACCGCTGCTGTGTTGTGTCCATACACACCCTCTGAACTCAAAAGGACTGGTTTATTTTCCCTCTACTACAAAAGTCCATCTGCCCCTGTGCCAATTACATCAGTACAATGACGATAAAAAGAAAAGTTTATTAACAAAGCAAAGCACAAGAGCGACTCAACATGAAATATACAATTTATTTCCCAGTGTCAAGCGCAAATATATCCTTATATATATATATTATATTATAATACAATAATGTGATGGTGCAAGTCGTGACAGATATATACATCAAATATTTTCCAGTCTGTGTTTTCAGTAGACAAAAACCAATTCACTATTGCCCATGCACTGTCTTCTTCCGTTCTTTGAGTGCATATGTGTAAAGATAGTGTGTGCTTGAGAAAAGAGAGAGAGGTTTTCATTTATAAATCCTGCTCGTTCATGTGTGTATGACTTGTAAGTATCAAACTGGCAGGATGTGTGCAGGTAGAAAAAAGCCCCTTCAGAAAAACTTACGAGTAATAATTGACTTACTTATCACACAGACACGCAGCTCCTCATTACCTCTTATCAGGAGCTACTGTTGCTGGACAAATACTGCTTTTGAAACCATATAAATGAATTGAGAAGGAGTACTATCTCCATCAGATACTATCTGTTCCTTCCACACAACCAAAGTATATTTAATATATTAAAAAAATACTTTACATGTGCCTCCCAACTTTTTTCCCCCCCTTCCAAAGCTTGTTTAGCACCATTACATCATACTTTCCCTATTAAAGGTATGAAAAAGTGTGTGTGTGTGTGGGGGCACAAACGACCTATCAATCTACCGACCACTTGTTCATAAACTCCGGACTGAACTTTTACTCCAGCATGAGAGGTAAGTACCTTATCACGATGCTACTGAGCTACTGTTCTTTCTTTCACTTCAGTTACGAGGTCTGCTGCTTATGCCAGGGCTATGTGAGAACACACTGACAGGGCAATAGTCACTTGACAAACTTCTGTACATAAACAAAATGCCACTGGAAGGTCAGAACAAAGTAAAGATATAAAACAGTTCAAGAGGGAAAGGACAAGTGCAGTGCAAATACAATAATAGTCACTCCCCAGAGAGGTATGGACAGAGTTGAATGCTTGGACTCACTATTTCCACAACAGAACAAGAATAAGTACATACATCTTTAACATGAGTCTCTCTTATAGACAGCTTTCCACTTGCAGACATGCATGCACAACAAGCACTCTGGCATGATTACATAGAATCAATGAAAAAAAGTCAACATTACCAAAACGAAATTATGTACACATATTATATTGTTCCCATTCTAATCATATCTGAAAGTGTAACATAGCAAATTGTCTGATCAAGACCAACTACTCTCAACAAACAAACTAGCTTTCCATTTGAATGAACATATGAACAGACACTTCTCTCACTCATTTTTTACTCCATAGGAGACTTCACAATGCTTTCAAAACCTTTCAGTTAATCCATTAGTCCTCATTTTCATATTTTACTTTCCACTCTTTTCGAAAGACCATTTCCATTCTCATCATTTTACTCTCAAACCTCTGTAAAATGTATAGCATGTTTAAGGCTACCACATCCCCC